GAGGAAAGACCAAGTAAGCAATTAATTTATTCACACGTAATATTTTATTTCTTTTTCAAATATGTTTCTAATGCTTTTAGCCTCTTTATTTTGGATTCCATGATGAAAAAGATAAAGTAATCTTCTGAGTTAAGTTGACTATTTTTTACCCTAATTTAGGGAGTTGGTTCAAGTGTTTTAATCGTGATGAAAATTTTTTTTGTTACAGTCTTTAACTTTTTTTTAAGGTATAAAAAAAAAGTTTGAAAAAATTGAAGAAATTAATTTGCTAAATAGTAAAGTACTCTAACGCTATTACAAACATATTGTTTTTTAGTTCTAATATTTTATGCAATTAGACAATTATACTTCATCTACTTTGCTCTATTGTTCAGTAAAAAGTTTTAAAGAGTTTATTAATAATTGTTTAGAAAATCTAGAAATTGGTAGATTAACTATTATAGAAAGCCGCATATTATCCACACTAGATAAAAATAGAGGTGACTCTTTTTAAGAGAAAAGTATATATATATATATCCATCTTTCTTTCTTTCTAATGTTGATCAATATTGTGAAACTCGACCTAAGCATTAACTCGAAGGATCAATTATCCAAAGTTCCAAGACTCGTAGAGAAAAGGAAATATGAAATAAAAATGTTATCGTATCAATCTAATTTCCTAGTTATGTAGTGCTACAAATTTATCTATAAATATGCTCATGTTTCTCGGGGCTGTACGATGATTATGTTTCTTTGGAGAACTTAAGATGTAAATAATTAAATTGAGTGTGATTAATGTATGATAGGATAGAATAAATAATACGTTCAATTCACTTCTTTCTCGAACTATTCCGCCTGACAGGTTCAACAATTAGAAATATCTCGTCTATCGTAGCGCCTCCTATCTTTCAACTATAGAGATGTTAAATACATTGTTCTCCAGTACAGAGACCAAACATTCCTTTATTGTATCGAGGAAACAAGACAAGGATTAAGCAAGAACACAAAACACAAAGTAACCTCAAAAAGAATAAAAGAAATAGCAACTTTGACTGAACCATATTCATATGTTCCAAACATATAATGCTAGTTGTACAATCAAGTTTGACAACTTGGTTGACAATGTGTGATGAGATAAGATCCTTGACATTGATTTGAAAAACAGATTTTTAAAACAATGATCAGGATCTTGTCAACTCCCACGTTGTCAACCAAAAACTTGGTTGTACAACTAGCATGGTTCATTCCAAACAGCAATACAAAGACATACAGAAGAAGAGGCAAAATACAACTAAAAGGTAGAGCAATAAAAATGTCATCCAAAAACAACAAAATTCATCAAAGTCAACAACTTGTCCTTAGGGATCAACTTGACTTCGGTCTCCTTAGGAACCGGCTTACAGCAGCTATAACAGGAAGGGGATTCTCAAGATGTACAGCATGCCCAGAATTTGGAATTTCAATAATTGGTGGACAGTCAGTATCATTAGTTACATTGCTCATTTTCGAGTACATTTCCCTAGCAATCTTCTTGAGTTTAATATCCTTTTCCCCCACGACGAGCAAAAGAGGTAATGTGCAGTTCTTCAGATCTTCCCACAGGGATCTACCATGAAAAGAAACAAAAACAAAAAAACAAATTTACGTTTATATAACAATACACAGGGTAATTCAGTAAATTATACATATTAATGTACCAAAGAATACCAAGACATAAGAAATAGAGGACCCTTGCATTGTTGAAGTGATTTGAATCGAAAAATTAGAAGAAACTCAACTTTAGTGTGCACCATAATTCCATAGCTCAAGTCCATTGAAAATGTTTGGACAAGGAGAGTACCAAATATTTTCAATAATAAATTATCACTTCCTGAGAATCCAAGTTTTTATAAACTTACTGTTGCCTTCCGATGCTTAGATCAGATAAAACTTTAGCAAGAGTGTGCACATCATCATGCTGTGAACGGTTAGCAACTATTTGCATGAAGTGTGGATGGCTTCTGAAACTGCTTGATGAAAACACAACAGCAAGATAGTCATACATTTTAGGACACAATCCTGGAGTATTTTTGTAGAATGCAAATGCATATATTAACAGGAAAATAAAACCATCAGTTACCTGGTCCACTGTTCTTCAGAATACCAAGTATCTAGGAAAAATTCTAAGCCATTTGAAACAAGGGAGGAGGCTCGGAAATCATCTTTAGCCCTGCGACTTGTTCTTGCATCTGGATCTGTCAAGCCCGGGCTTCCAGAAATTATGACGGCTCCTTCAACCTTTTGTAGCAAATTGACAGATATTTGTGATTGTAAAAGACTAAACGAAAATAAAAATACTGTGTACCAAGCTAAAGCTTAAGTTTAATATGAGGTGCTTCAACAAGGCATCAAAGGTAGGCATATGTCATGTATTCAAGTGTTGTCGCCGCCATTCATTTAAAAAGTTGTGCATGTATAGTGCCTTAGGTTAAAAAAGGATCCCAATTTGCATGTGAGAGGACATGTCAAATAAATATGTAACCTCTAACAATTTAAGTTTTTAGATGAGATGATTCGACAGAGTAAGAAATCAAATCCATTGAGCAAAAAATATAAGCACCTATTACTTACCTTATTCCTGCATTTAAGGGCCATGTATAAAGAGATCCTTGCTCCCATCGAGTACCCCACAAGAACAACCTTTCCAGGAGTAAGATCGTGAAGGACTTTCCGTAACATATTGACAACTAAATCCATCGACAAACTTTGTCCCTGTGAAATATCAAGCAACTTCGATCCACCATGGCCAGGAAGGTCAATTGCAATGCATCTGATTGAGCTTGAGAGGGCCTTCATTATAGGGATCCAATCTTCACCAGTTCCAAGAAAGCCGTGAAAAAACACAACTACAGTATCCTGCAGTGACTGGAAAGTGAGGAAACAAAATGCAAAGAATTGAGTAACAGACTCACAGGGCTACTAAAATAAGTAAATTGAAGAAGCCCTAGAGATTTTGCCATATAGAAAATCATGTATCAACAAATAGTTTCCAACAGAACCAATTAACAAAAATCAGATAAGATATGAAATATTTCGTTTTCATAGTGCAGTATTTAGTTATTCATCCAGCAGGTAAATGAAAGGTGCATATTTGATACTTACATCAATGCTTTTCCCAATTTCAAGAATATTTAGAGAAAAGGAGACACTGTCTGCATTAACTGTTAATGGATATTTCCTAACTTGTGCTTGAGCAGAAGCTTTAACAACCATATTGGGGTTGATTTGGCATTGCTGGAGAAATCGACCAGCATCAGCAACAGATGCTGCTGCAGAGATATTTAGAGGCTCCACTGTCACATCTTCTTTAAACCACCGGTAAGTTCCAAGACCGTGGGCTATAGACAAATCTGGTTTCCTACTCATTAATCTACAAATATCAGCATTTTGCAGGTCCAAATAATGGGCAAATTGAATATATGCAGACAAACCCACGGCAGTTTCAAATGCAGCACTGACAACAGACATCTTCTCATGCTGCTGAGCCCATCGTGCAACCACAGCTGCAGTTTCAAAACCTCCAATAATGCTCGGTTTGATAACCTACGATGAGACATAAGTATCACGTAATGATGCATTTTTGGTAATTAATGAATATTTAAACCCAGTGCAGGAGTTAAGGTTTATCTGCGGGCTTATCTCTATTTTCTTGATGGGTCATAATGTGTATGATTGGGAAGGTAGTAAGTGTAGAAGTGCACTATTAGAGAAATCTATTGCACAACGCAGTTGCAAGAAATATTATTGAAGGAATGGGTTTGTAAGACAATTTCCATGCATGCCTTATCAAGAGAACGCAAGAAAAATGTGTAATAATGTTCACAACATGTTCATTATTATATTGAAAATCTATGTATTTACACAAGAATTAATTACAATATATGCTCCTACTTACAACAGCTGCTACTCCAGAGTGGGTGAATTTCTTGAGGACCTCAAGAGGGTTCTCTCTACTATAGTTGATAGTTTCATCCAGTGCCACGGGTAAGCCAGTCTCTTCACAGAATTTGATTATATCATCTTCATCTTTAACGGGCTCCTGAAGAAAAGGAAAAGTTTACAGAAAATTTTCTCAATTTAACAGGACAAAGTTCGAGGCGTCATATAAGCACAACAAATAACCTGTTACTTTCTACAAAGAGGAAGGAAAAACCCGGATAAAGACCAACAGAATGTCAAAATCAGAGAATTCTGGATTCTTGTGTGAAGAAGAGCAGAAGAAATAAAAAATGTCTCGAGACTTGAAATCATCAATCAATTGTCCATTCACCAATCATTTACTAGTGAGCATACCTCAATATACTGTAAGCAGCAATCTTTTACTGAATGTGCGAATTGAATTGCTTCACTATAGGTCCATTTCCGATTTGCATCAGCACGAATAACAATATGATGACCCACCTTCTTTCTCACCTCTTGTATTACAGCAATATCTTCAAAAGGATCGGCCCTACGTGCAACCTATATACAGAACAACGAGCAAGTTAATGCTTCCACCAGTCAGATGATTGAAAATGTTGGTTAAATTAACGGGGTGCAAAGAACAGATATAATGCGGATAACACACTCTTGTCCAAGTATAATAATTTGTGATGTAATATTGTTACTTTTATCTTTATTGTAGTAAACCCTTCTTCAACTAGAGCAGATGCAACAAAAGCTGTGTCCGCGGGACTTCCGTAAGAGTCAATAAGGGCACAAATCGGAACATCTGATGGACCCCTGGAGAATTCTTCTCTCTTTGGACGAAGAACATCCAATAGATTGCAACCTCCTCTTGCGGCAATTGCACTGAGGAGAGCCATCTCTAATCCGCACCTGACACTGGGTAAGATTGAACCTGGCTATAGCACGTCGGAATGTCAAAATATGCAAGAACAAAATGTAGAAGATAAAACGGGCATTTTACTACTTCTTTCCAATGCATATAGTATATTGACATCATATCATAACAAAAAATAGACTTGCTGGACCTACCGAGATTCCTAAACTATTCCATAACCAAGAAGAAATTGAGCCCTTCAATAGAGGTAGCATGTAATCAATTGTAGTTCCTTCTATGACATGAATAAGAAACTGTAGTTGCTCTTCAACGTCCAGCAAGTTCTCTCTGTGGGTTTCAAGAGGAGCAACCTGCTAGGTACTAATATGTCATGACACTCAATGCATAGGTGTTTATATTTACAAATGGAAGAACGAGGATAAAAGAAATGATGGATGAAATGGTAATTGAATGAAACAAGAAGAAATAAGGTAGTGACACAAATAATTTATGAAATATTACATTCTTTGTACTGTCATGCAAATTATGAAAAATGGCAGCATAGTGAAACTAATTAAGAATAAGAGGGAACAACTTATCAGCTTCAGGGGATAATTCAAATATCATAAGAATTTCACTATTAGAGTGAAATTATCTGTTCCACTATTCTTTCCTGATAAAAAGAAAGCTTGGAAATTTTAATACATCTGTTATAATAACTCTGACATTATTTGAACAAAGAGCATACTGTTATTACATGTTTTTTTTTATAACGTCGCATCAATGCCATAACAAGTAAGAACCTAATATAACAAAATTATTAAGAATCCTAGCTTTCGGTCGACTCTGAACTTTTAGTGAACTTTCATGTAGGTCACTAAACTTCATTGTTTCAAATTAGTAACTGAACTTAAATAGTGTTTCAAGTAGGTCAATGAACTTAAATATTTGTTACAATTTGGTTTGACAAATGGAAAGCTGACATGGCAGCCTAGTTGGCAATTGACTAGACTATGATGTCACATTTTCAGTTAGTCCAATTGATGTGTATGGTTAAAACGACCAACCTGAAACTTATATTGCATACAAGGAATTCTTTTCCTTGAGAGCTCCGACGGATGGAGGGGCCGAGAAGCCTGGTTTTTTGATTGTGAGGCAGCAAATATTATTATTTCTTATTTCTTTGGCTTAAATAGTTAAGTAATGGGTGAGATAAACATGAGATAACATATGTTTTCATAAGAACCATAGTACAGACATGCTAAATTTGAAGGATAGACAAAAATGATTTGAGTGTGTTAATGCACATCGCACCATGCACACACAAACACGTGTGCGCGTGCAGAGAGACAGGGAGNGGAAACAGTCAGACTTAATCTTACCTCCCCAAATCCAGTGCTTCCATCTTCAAGAGACAGTGTTATTACATATCCTTCTCTGTAGAATGTGTTTGTGTTGGTACTACGAGAAGCTGAAGTAGGTGGGGCGTTTAGCTGAACTCTGCCACATGATCAGACAGGGGAGAGTACCACACATTAATTTTTCGAAATACTATCTTCAAAACCATCCACTGTACAACACTCACCGATATAGAGAGCATTCCATTTTAATGATTTTGTAAATCACATGCTCCTGGAATGTGGAATCTGTAACTGAAAGCTTTGAGAGGATGTTTAAAGCATGATCTGATGCTTGTCGAGCAAATTTTCTTAAATGACTGAGAAGAAAAACAGAATAAATTAGTATGGCAGAGGTCATAACCCATGAATTTAGGAGTACTTGGTACTTGTCAAAGCCTCACTACCTATGAAAGGTGGCATTGGCATCAATGCAGCTCTCAACTTCGATGACGCAGTCAACATCTTCGTGCTGAGATGTGAATAAAGCATCTTGTAGTTCAATTTTTGACTGCACCTGTACATGCTTCACACTGTACACAAAATATTTCTCATAATCTTTGTAGCACGGACACTCTTATCTAGGCATGTCCATATCCGACACGTGTACCGACACTCTTCGGACACTCTACAATATTCATTTTTCTTTCTTTCTATAGCTATTATATATTTTTAACTCAAAATTATTAATAAATAATAAATAAGTAATCATATTTAAAGATTTCAACAAGAAAAATCAATAATAAGTATAAAAATAAAATTATAATATATAAATGAAGAATTTTAAAGAATTTAATTAACGTGTCGACAACGCGTCGTGTCGGTACTTTTTTGAAAAATCACGAGTCGACGTATCCGACACGTATCGTGTCAAACACACGTGTCCGTATCGGTGCATCATAGCTCATAATTCAAGAAAAAAGAGTTACCATTTTGCCTAAAATTGAGGATATATGGAACTTAGACCCAAACAAACAAAGTATAAGACTTCAAAAAGTCAATGTTGTTTCAGTTATAAATTTATTTATTATTTTTTTTTTTTATCTCCGTTTATTTCTAACTTTATATGAATTTTCAAAATTTTCAGCTTTTCATATGGCAAACGATAGCCTAGAGGTTCATTGTTTCATTATTCCAACTTCAAACAATGATATCCCATGTTGCATTGATAATATTTGTATTGAAAGTTGCAAACTGTTCATCACCAATTTTTTTTTTCATTATTAATATTTTTGAGGGTTGGAGGGCTGCAGAAAAAAACTGTTAGAATGCAAGCCCATAGGGTAGAGTTCTTACGCATGTGCTGCACATAGATTCTGGATTGACACATCATGAGATGTGTAGAAAAACTGATGTAGAATACTTCTTTCCGTAACGTTTGCAACTGGAAGTTGACTGAAGATTCCACCACCATGATTGTTTATCACAACTATGACCATCGGTTTCCGGTGAATCCTTTAGACAAACACGTTTTTAACTTAAGGAGACAGAAAAAATGTACATGCTAATTTGAATGGCAACCTATGATATTGTTCAAGGAGGTAAAAAATTATAGGGTGGAACCCGCTGAACAGTTCAATTCGCTGATACCTAACTATATTTATGTAATAACAGAAAACTTAAGACATGCTGAAAGCCGCCAAGTGAATGTAACTACAGAAATAACAGTTGATTAGTGAAGAATTGTCTATATTGATAATCTAGTCCAGTGATTGATCACGGATCTTCATAAAAAATATCTTTTAAAAATATCTATTAATATGGTTTAGACCCGAGAAAAATCAAATAAAATATTTTATTTGATAAAGAAATAATATTTTCTAATAGAATTTCAATGAAAAATGCCGTAAGAACCTGAAAGGGACGCAAGCAGCACAAACTTTGAGCATATAGTAAAGTAAATGGAGGATATTTGATTTTCCTTCATCAGAGACATAAAAAGTAAAGCCAAAAGTTTATACACCTACAGAGCATAAGATTAGCTTAAACGTAAAACTAAAAAAATAATCAAGTCTGAGGCAAAGCTTAAGCATATCAAGACATGCATCTATTCCAAACTGATACAACACTGTGCCAGCAGAAGAGAAATGAGCAGAAAAAAATTATAAATCGTAATGAAGAAAGACACGGAAAAGAAGAGCAAAGGTGGGAGTTTTCACCGTTGTTTCAATAGTGCCAATCCGTTGGCATCATGCAGAAATGAAACATCTCCAATCACACAAAGAACCTGGAAATAGTTATATTTATCGAGATATACAGAACAGTACATGTGATTGCATATAGAGAAACAACTATAATGGAATAATATAAGCTACTCTAAAGTCAATAGCCACAGATGTCACAGTTTGACAGAAGCAAGCATAATGTCTCACCTATAATCTAAGGTAACAATTACTAGCAGTAGCAGTTTTGTAATGAGCAATCATATAGATCTTGTTTGAAATAATAGAGTACAAGTAATTGAGATAGAAATAGAGAATTTATGAAAACAAAAAGAAAGAATCTATACTAATTACAAAATTACATTATTACGGAAATAACTACAGAGCAGACAGAATCTCTGAATAAGGAAACAGATTTAAAAACCCAGACTTCTAAATTATGAAAATATTTTGTACTAGTTGTATATCCAAAGAAAATAAAATACAGAAAAAAGAAAACTAGTAAACAAGGAGAATCAGATCTGCCTACACTGCCCCTCAAGCAGGTGCAAATATTTTTCTTATTTCCAGCTTATTCTTTGATTGAGTATTGCATACACATCACTCCTTCAACGACAACACCCAGCTAATTGTCTCCCCCTGAAGATAGGTGTTGCTGAAATAGGCTTGGTTCACAAACAAGATAATGTCCATGGTGGAGTTACTGGTTATTTCAGACATTTAAGATTAAACTGGAAGCCTCTATTTAAAGAGCAGTGGCAAGGCCTGGGAGAAATACTACTGATTAACTTACAGGCTTTCTTGTTTCTAGAAGTCCACCTCTGAAATTAACAAGTGCTACTGATTTTTCAGAGATACATCAGAAATCAGGTGAATATATTGATTTCTGTGATTATATGGGTGTAGGAATTAAAATTGCCACTCTCTTTTTACTTAGTTTGTAGTCCCAGGGCAAAATATCTGGATAAACTCTGTAAAATTCATGCCTTTGTATATGATAATGGCAATATCTGTGAATAAGGATCAAGGAGAAAACATGAGTGATCTTAATTGTGCTGTATAAAGGAAAAGGAGAGTTAGCTACAGGGTTGGACTGAGAAGGCTCAATACTTCATTTATAGGTAAGTAAAGGACAACATCAGTGATTTCTTCTTAACAAAACAGTATGCAATCAATCAATTGCAAGAATGTTAATTCCCAATTAAAACTATGGCAAACTCAGTCCTTAATTACTCACTCGTTTGCTGCAGCCAACTGCAAATCCAATGGCAGTGCTAATTAACCCATCGATGCCACTAGCTCCTCGATTTGCACCAACCTGTATCCAGTGACATGGTAATCCAGAGCTAAACATAGGATAAGTAGTATGCGTACATGGAGCCCGGTTACAGCCATACATATTTGCATCACGTATTGGCATGCTGTTTCCCAGAAAAAGAGCAGATTCACAGCGAAGGGCTTGAAGTATTATCCCAGCAGCATACGGTTCGGTCAATGAGTTTTCTGAACCAATCAAAAACGATGTCTCCCAGGCAGCCTATCGAACATAAAGGACCAAGTTAAATAAAACATGGTAGAGATATAAATTACAAAGTTGTAGCAAAATAATGATCAGTCAACTTCAAAAGGTGACAGAAACCTTAATTATTGGTTGCATACCATCATGTCCAATCCTCGTAGAAACCCTCTCCATTTATTACTAACGTGTGGTGTGCAAGCTTTAATCAAACAATCACAGAACTGGGTGATGGTACTCTGGATCCTGTGTGTCACAATGTGTGAAGGATCATGACGCCTTGGATGCTCGTCAACCAATATATATGGGTAAGGAAAGTTATGCTCCAGCTTCTGAGATATGCGCTTGCTTGTTATCCGACTTCCAATCTGTCATTTGCAAAGATGTGAATTGAATCAAGAATTTCAATAGTATTCTTTCAAGAAATAAGATAAGCACAACTCCATAAGTTTTACAAAAACTGTGTTCTAGAAAACTAGCATTTCTTGGGCAAGTTTTCAAAAACTTAACCAAGAAGAAGAAATTAGAAATGAACATTTATATCTACAAAATCAAAATTGGAAAATTTTCGTAATTTACCCCACATATTAGTGTTCTCTGTGATCTCGATGCTCCACTTTGTTTTAATGATCTATACTTTGTTTTAATGATTTATAGCGATTATGGGAACCGGATTGCTTTAAAAGAACTCCAAATGGAAACAATTCCATGCTATGTTCCCAGATGTAACAGATCTACTTACTGGAAGCTTAGACACAATGGACAAAAAAGTTATCCAGCAAAAAGCACGTTCAAGAAAATATTTGAAGACCACCCCAAGTGCTTTTTAAGAATTAAGTTTGAGCTTCTCTTCAATATCTATTGAATTTCCGGAAGGCTCTATTTGTCTCCATAGAAATATAATCATTTGAAGCTAGAAAGCAAGCCAAAAAGAGATACTTTCACAAACATTACTTCCTTGTGAAAACCATTCAAGGACCAAAAATAGAAGTTCGGATTCTACAAAACAAAGAATAGTAGTTATTTCATCTACTATCCTTTCATTTCATTCTTTTCCAACAATCATACTTATAATGGAAGAATTGAAGCTATCTATAGTTTCACATTTCATCACTGCTTTTGGTTACATTAACCCTAGAAAGACACTTCTCTTTTGTGAAATTGCGGACCAAAAATAAACAAATAGATAAAATAAGGTACCTGGATTATCACATCAATCTGCATCCAATCCTTGAAAGAATCTGAGAGTAACAAATGATCGAGTTGATCAATAAACAAAATGTCCTTGCTATCGAGAAAGGATGAGAAGTACTTTCTCAAACGTAAGCCCGACAGGATGTCTACTGCAACTGGCCACAATAGGTGTTTAGCCAACAGAAGAGCTGCCCATATGTCATCCACTTTGTGAATCGGACCAAAAAGTAAAAGCCCTCGATTTGCCCCTTGAATCAGCTTCAGAACTTCACCAATATGCCCATACATATTATCACAGGTCATAGAATATTGTAATGGAATATAGCTGGTAAATGGTTCAGTATTCGACATCCAAAAATCTAATCCATCTAAACAGCTACGCATCCACATCTGTGGACTATTCTCCAGTGGTTCTCGGAAATGGCAGTTGATATGAACAGGACCATGTGGTGATGAGGTTGCCATATATACAGCAGAGTCAATACTGGTAAGTACTATCCTTGCTGAAATATCATCAGTAGGTGCAGGAAGACTGAAAAAATGCCGCACAAATGAACCAAAATGATTGACCTAAAATACAAAATTCAAAGATTGTTATGTTGATTCTTGCTCATTAGCTGAGGAGCTAAGAAAACATGCACCAGGTTTAAACTAAATTTCCAATATATTCAAAAGTAAAGAGTCTTATGTCTACCTGATTGATTGCTTGGTTGGCCCCGACGTCTTGAAGCTCTGGGGGCCGGTCTGCTGTAAGTAACAGAAGTGGCACAAAATCTTGGCTAGCCTCCACAACCTGTAAAACAGCACGAAGTTGCTACTATTGGATAAAAATACAGACAATTAAGTAAAGCCAAATAAGAAGATAGTAGTCATCTCAATAGATGAAATTAAGGATTACACGAAAGGCAAAAGGTTATTTAGAAAGACTCAATTAATTAATACTGCTATAAAGTAAATAGAATATAGTAGCAGCACAAGATTAAGTTAGTATTATGGCTGCCAATACAAATTTTACTATTAGAAAAAGATTGGCCTCAATCTGTTTAGTGTTATTGTGCTAGAAAATGAAAAATAAACAAAATAGATAACAGTGTAAAATTGTTGCAGTTATGTAAGAAAATAAATAACACAAATAATTATGACACAATAGTGACAAGAATTTGCTCGATAAATTTTCGGTATGCATTGCTTCAATATATATATAATATTACAAAGAAAATTAAGGAAAAGATACAAAATCAAAAATCCCTGATTCTATGGTAATTACCAATTCTATAAATGGAAATCTCTAATTAGCGTTAAATACTCTAATACCCCCCCCCCTTCAAATTGATGCTGGTAAGTCCACGAGCATCAATTTGCTACTAGAAAAGTATGACGGAGACGTGTCAAGGACTTAGTGAAAATATATGTTATCTGTTGAGCCGTGGAAACATGGGGAAAAGCAATGACGTTGGAATTATAGGCATCCCGAATATAATGACAATCTACTTCAATATGCTTGGTACGTTCATGATACACTGGATTAGCCACAATTTGAATAGCACTAATGTTGTCACCATGGAGGGGTGTAGGTTGTAATTGGGGAACTCCAAGTTCATCTAGCAAGCCGCGCAACCACACAATCTCAGAACATGCAGCTGACATAGTGAGATATTCAGCATCAGTGGAGGACTTAGAAACACAATCTTGTTTCTCACATTTCCAAAAAATAAGAGCATCAGGAAGATACACCATCCAGTCGTAGATCGACGAGAATTAGGGCAACCAACCCAGTCAACATCACTATAAGCAGTGAGCTCAAGAGATGTACCCCTCGGAAAGAACAGGCCACGATGAGGAGTTCCAAGAAGATATCAAATAATGGGACGGACTGCTACTAAATGAAGATGACGAGGGGTATCCATAAATCTGCTGATAGTATGCACTGCAAAGGAGATATCTGGACGTGTGATAGTGAGATAGATGAGACTCCCCACCAGCTTCCGATATAGAGTAGAGTCTGAAAGAATATCACCTTCATCTTTTTGATATTTAACATTAAGTTCCAACGGAGTATCAACTGAGGAGGCTTCAGATAAATCTGCCAATCGAATCAAGTCTTGAATATATTTATGTTGGTTCAAGAAAATATCATGTGGTATAGAGTGAACCTCTAAGCCAAGGAAATAAGTAAGCTGCCCAAGGTCTTTCATATGAAAAACCGAGTAAAGATGCTGCTGAAGTTTCTGAATAAGGATGTTGTCAAATCCAGAGATAATAATATCATCCACATATACTAACAAGAAAACAATGCCAGTGGTACTCTTATAAAGGAACAGAAAGGCGTCATACTAACTTTGGAGAAAGGAGAAATTCAAGAGTGCTGCGAAGCTTATCAAACCATGCTCGAGGAGCTTGCTTAAGGCCATACAAAGATCATTTTAGCTTACACACAGAGTCAGCCGAGGGAAGAAGCATACCAGATGAAAGTTTCATATAAATATTGTCCTCGAGATCCCCATGTAAAAATGCATTCTTAACATCCATTTGATGTAAAGACCAAGACCGAGAAGCGGCAAGTGACAACAAGAGACGAAAAGTAGTCATTTTAGCAACGGGAGCAAATGTCCCATCGTAATCTATTCCATATTCTCGACGGTCACCCAAGGCAACCAATCGAGCCTTGTAGCATTCAAGAGAACCATCTGATCAAAGCTTCACTGAATATACCGATTTACTACCAATGGGTTTCACAGACTGTGGACAAGACACGATATCCCAAGTTTGGTTGGCCGAGAGGGCCTCAAGTTCTGCATTCATTACCTATTGCCAACACTCTTGTTCCATAGTTTGTCAATAGGAAAGAATAGGACATAGAGCTATGGGAGGAGAAACGATACCTATCTGGTGGCCGACGAACACGAGAAGAGCGACGGAGAGTGTTAGGAGATGAATGATCATCTGATGAAGGATCCGATGTCATGGGTGGAGAATCATGGAGACTTAGAGGGATAGTCGTTGGAGGGAGATGGTCGAGATTATTGATAGGTGCAACCTACTTTCAAGAGTAAATGAGACCGGGCTTGCATCGAGAGAATTCTGTAGTAAAGTCAGGCAAGATAGAGAACACAGGAGGAGAAATAAAAGTGTCTTGAGTAAAGAAAGATTTTTTTTTCAAAGAAGACAACATTACGAGAGATTCTAATGCGATGTGTAGTAGGATCATAACATACATACCCCCACTATATCCCAGAAAAGCACACCTAACAGATTGAGGTGTGAGTTTCGTTCTTTCATGTGATAGTAATGAACAAAACAAACATACCCAAAAGTACATAGATGAGAATATGTAGGATGACTACCAAAGAGCTTATAAAACAGAGAAACATTTTTGAGTGGGAAATGGCAACCGATTAATGAGATGGACAGCGGCAGACAAAGCTTCACACCAAAAATGAGAAGGAAAAGAAAACTCAATCAAAAGAGCTCTAACCATGTCAAGAAGGTGTCGATTCTTGCGTTTCGCCACCTCATTTTGTTGAGGAATAGAAGGACAAGATCGCTGAGAAATAATACCCTTGGTCTGTAGGAATGTTTGAAACTCATTAGACATATATTGGCCTCCCGAATCAGACCGTAAGATCTTGATGGAGGAGGAAAATTGATTATCAATGAGGCAAGGAAAGTTTTAAAAACAGAGAAAACATCACTTTTTGCACGGAGAAAATAAACCCATGTGAAACGACTATAGTCATCAATAAAGGTAACAAAATATTTATAATGCGCATGAAACACCACTGGTGCAATACCCCATACATCACTATGAACAATGTCAAAAAGATGCGAAGCATGAGAACCATGAGAAGGGAAAGGCAAAACTTTACTCTTAGCAAGTTTACATGAAGCATAATCAACAGGTATAGATGAAACTGAAACAGGAGTTTTATTACCAAGCAAACCAGAGTTTAACAAATATTGCAATACATTAGAGTTGGGATGTCCCAATTTCTTATGCCAATCAAATATGTCAAAAATAGCAGAATAACAAACAAAGGGAAAACTTGAAACTGGCTTCGGTATGATAGGAAATAAACGTCCCTCCTTAGGTCCCCTCACGATCATCCTCCCGGACACCTGATCCTGCACAACACAACCAGAAGAAGAAAAAGACAGTGCAATTGTTATCAACTAGTTGACCAACAGAAATAAGATTAGTGGATAATTTTGAAGAGACTAACACATTAGACAAATCTGGTGATATATCACCCACCGCTGAGATAGGAAAAGTGTTATCATTAGCAGTATGGATATTGAAGGGTCCAGCGTATGGCCTGAGGTTACTAAGTAATAGAGCATCATGGGTCATATGATTAGATGCACCCGAATCTAATAACCAAGGAGAACGAGTAGTTAGTGGCTTACCTGAGACACCTAAGGCAGACAAAGCAGAAATGACCCTCTGCTGGATCATTTTTGGGGTGATAGGGGTTTGGGTAGGACCAAGAAAGGCTAAAACTTGAGTGGTAGCAGCTGGCATAGCAGAACTGGAGGCTAAAGTGGCAGCAGCAATATGACCTACTCCAAGTTTACATGGAGGCCGAATAGGACACTCCTTAATAACATGTCCAGCTTTCTTGCAATAATTGCATACCTTCTTAGGACACTAAAGAGCCATGTGACCAAATCCCTTACAACTGTAACACTGTACACCAAACATATCCCGAGACCTGAATTTTCCTTGAGCAGCATATGCAATGGAGATTAGTTCTACTTGATTGTGTTGTTGCTCCAAAGAAGCACGAGTGATAAGTCGCTGCTCTTCCCTTAGTAACTCACCCAAACAGCCATCCAATGTTGGAAGAGATTCACGATTCATAAGACTGGATCGAATAGGTTCAAATTCGGCTCCCAATTTCATGAGAAATTGATCCCTCTTGGTAACTTCATGCACAGCTTGTATTGCCTCCAAATTGTTAGGTGAAACCGAAGCATAGATGATATCCGTGTACTCAGCCCATAGATTGGAGAAACCAAAATAAAACTCTTCAATAGATCGAGAATTCTGAGAAAAATTTGCCAATTCAAATTCTAATTGAAGTCGTCAAGCATTGTTACTTTGAGTGTAGACTTTCTTCAAAAATTCCCACATAGCACGAGCGGACTTGTATGGCCTGAGATTAAGAACAATTTGAGCATCAACGAATCCAATGATCCAGACCATAATCCTGGAATCTTTGGCTTTTCAAGCAAGATACTTCTCCTTCTCCTTCTCTTGATCAAGAGATGGAAGACTCTCATCAGTGTGTCCCCACAGATCCCCTTTCCCTTCAACCAACAGCTGAAGGTGAAATGCCCATGAGGAGTAGTTCTTCCCAGTGAAACGAATGTAGACAGAATCAGTTTTCTCAATTGACATGATGAAATCGTCTATAATTCAGCTCAATGGATTACCCTTGTAAACACAAGCCCAAAAGAAAAAATTGGAATGATGAACTCAATATAAAAACTCAACAGAAATATATTTCAAGACTAAGTCCCAATAAAATTCTACTAATAGCCCAAATGAAGGAAGCCCAACCCTTGGTATAATTGATTCAACCTTACAAATGGTCTAAACACTACCATTGAGGCGTAAAACCAAGACAGCAATGAACTAAATCAAAAGATCTCTTCTTCCGTTCAATTTCTTCGATACTGTGACCCAATCTCTGAAATCTGAACAAAGAAGCAAAATCCGGTAAATCCGATCGAAGAAGTAAAATCGGGTCTTTGTGACAACAACCCAACGAGGTGCTGTAAACACGCGAGGCGATTACAGCTGAAAACACACGGTCACTTGCGTTCGACTTGAACAGAGGATCACTATGGATGCCGACTACTAACGACACCGGGAACACACGAGGCGACTACAGTCGCGACACAGACTACGACAAGCAGAGACTTGAACGCAAGCACACGAACAAAACAAGGACTTAGGGCTCTGATACCATGACAAGAATTTGCTCGATAAATTTTCGGTATGTATTGCTTCAATATATATATAATATTACAAAGAAAATTAAGGAAAAAATACAAAATCGAAAATCCCTGATTCTATGGTAACTACCAATTCTATAAATGAAAATCTCTAATTAGCGTTAAATACTCTAATAAATAGAACTCACAGCAGGAAGAAGATTCGAGACCGCTGTTCCTGATGATGTTATAATGACTGCCGGTTTTTGAGAACCTCTGGCATAACCAAGAGCATGAAATGCAAGTGACCGCTC